ATAACTAATCTGCTAATTTAAGCAGGAGCCAGGGACACTCAGGGAATAATTTCTCAGTCACTTTTTGGGTGCAGTCATCCTCCCCACCAGGTTGATGGTGTATTTCAGTTCCTTAGGGAGGTGTGGCATCTCTTGCAGCTTTAATTCACCTGAGTAAAGATAATTTCTATTAAATCTACAGTCTCAGAGGCTCAGGACTGGGCTGGTCCTTCATGCCACAGCCCATTATCCCATCTCTCATGACATGACGCTGGGAGATTAAGCCACCTGGAGATCAGATACATGTTTAGGTGTCTTTTATTGCTCCTTTTCACAGATTCAGGGGGAAAAAAACAACACAAAAGCAATAAGGTGAATGGTGTGTGCTCACTTTCCCTGTTTCTGCTGTTTCTGCAGTGGGATGCATTTTCCATCCCAGAGCTACAGAACTTCCTGATGATCCTGGACAAAGAAGAAAAGGAAAAAATCCAGCAAGTGCAAAGGAAGTATGAGAAGTTTAAACAGAGACTGCAGCAGACCTTGAAAGAAGCCAGAGGCAAACCTGGATAGTTCTGCAGGGAGCACTGGATATCAGACTAAGCTAGATACTATTTTTAAAATGAAAAGACACCTCTCAGGACACCTTATAGTGGTCCCTGTCCCTCTCCCTCTTCGTCCTTCCATTTAAGACTGGCTCATAGTGCCCATAAAATGAACATGCAGCATTTACTTCTTCTGAAACCTCTTATCCCAGGACCAGAGCCAGTCAAAGAATGGGAAGCCTGGTGTAAAACTGCCCCTCAACACACCAAACACAGCTGCTGGTTCTCTTTTCAGCTGCACCATCTGATGGAGAAGCTTCATGGAAAATGCTCAGTGTACAACTTAATAGGAACATCTACTGGCTAACAGGGTCACACTTGCTGTTCATGCTCCTCCCAGCAACTGGCTTGTTCTTGTTGGGAGCCTCCCTGCATGTGGACGGGTCCTCATTTCATAAGTGGAGCAGAGGAAGCAGCAGATACAGCAGAGGAGGTTGTTGCACCAAACCGTGTGGGTGTTGCAGCTGCAATCAAAGTCTGACGGGCTTGTTCAGGGCTGAGATAGTCAGGGAGATGTAAAGGTGTGATACCAAGGCAGCTGCAACACCCAAACAGTCTGCTAGGAAGTATTATTGAGACTTGGTAATATTAATTCCAGGAAAAGTAATCGTTTTTATTCCAATTAATTTCCAGTTTTTAAAACAGATGTGAATGAAAGCAAATACCCCTGATGCTTAGCTAGGCCAGCCAGTGTTTTACCAGTTTCCTGCTCTGTAGGATTTGGAACCTGTGTTGTCACAAATTCTGTTTGAAAAGTGTGAAGACGATGGTTGGGGCAGGAGCTGAGGGCTCGATACTGAACATTCAGCAATACTTACCCAACAGAATAACCCAGGAAAGCTCAAAACCCCCCTTCACAAATCAGACTGATGTTGAGCTATGAACAGGTCTGGCAGTGAGGGAGGGGCTCCTGCCAGGGCGTGGATGTGGCACCAGGAGCACAGGCTGCTGGTGTGGAGGAGCCTGAGCAGCAGGAGCAAGGGCAGTGTTGGCCTTGGATGCTTTCCTCCCACTGCCCTCATCCTGTGCTTGCTCTACCTAACCCTCCTTGTGCTGCTCTCCCACCACTCCCTGTGCCACCCTGTCCCTCTCATGTTCTCCTTCCCTCCCTGCTCAGTTGGTGCTCTGTCTGCACACCCAGCAAACGTACCAGGTTTTGCTCTCTACGTGGAGCCAGGAGAGGAGAGCAAGTCTCTCCCTCCTCCTCTCTCAGGGCTCCCACTGTCTCCAGTGGGTGCACTGTGCTTTCTTCAGAACAAATCCTTGAGCTGGAGCACCAGGTACTGCCATAGCTCCAACTCACTGCCATGCAGTGATTGCTGAGGGGCAGGGCAGCTCCAGGGCTGCCATCCTGAAGAGCATTGTCCCACGTTTACTCTTGGTGCTTTGTACCTAGCACGCTGTACAGCCAGGCTGTCTTCCCTCTGCTGACACAAAACACCACAACAAAGCCTAAGGAGAAAATGGAACATGAATCCTGGCTGGATTGCCATGGAGGGTGGGAAGGGGGTTCATATTGAGTTGGTGAACAAGTGTCCCTTGGAGCTTGCTGTGACCCCACCTGCACCAAGCAGGGAGGCAACAGTTATTGGGTGATACCACAGACAAAATGTGCAAGAGTCTAAAATTTACCTCAGTGCCTTTTTTTTTTTTTTCCCCCTGGAGTGTGAAGACTTTGCATTTGAGCTAAGGATGTTGGAAGGGGCTTTTGTCCAGAGGCCTTGTCAATCCTGTCCCCTGTTTGCCTGAAGTACTGGTGTGAGGAGGCTGCTTTTGTCTGTAGAGGGACTAGGAACTGTTTTGTTTCTTTGAGGGTGATTGCTTGGGATTTATTATTTCCCCCCCCCCTCCAGATTTATCCTTGAGTCTGTTTGTTTATGCATTGTTACAAGAGTAACTGCATCACGTCCAGCCCCTTGGTTGGTATCAGTGCCACTTGCTCCGGGTCTTGTTCCAGCTCCCAGTTTAGCCAGTGGTGTAGGAGGGTTTGCTCAGAGGCTCTGGCACACCGTGCAGGATGTGTACTGTACTCAACACCCAGGTGACCTTTAACGACGTGGCAACAGCCCAACCTGAGCAGCAGTTTTCATGCTCTGGGGCTGTTGGTCCATTTACAAGGATACTTACTACTTCATGATGCTTGTGAAGTGTTTTAACCAACACTTACCTAGTGCTCTGAGTCGTGAAAGCATTTATAAATACTTCTGTTCAGCCAAGAGAGAGAACCCTGCAGAAACTGCCATCAGTTCTGAGAAGTAAGATCCAGATGCTTGGTTTTAAATCCCTTCTCTTTCTGGCTAAGAGCTGTAAAGGTTTCTTTGTTGTTGTTGTTTTCCACTAGAGTCCTGGTGACTGTCTCCTTCTCCCCCTGCACCCCAGCATGTCTTGGACAGTTGGTAGGAGGCATGGCTTCTTATGCAATGACTGTGAATGCTGCTCAAAAACCTCCTTCAAAAGGGGAGGGCTGTTTCTTTTGGGTATTTTTTTATTGGTTATTTTTTTCGAGATATAGGGGCATTTGAGGAATTACTAGGTCTTGAAACTCCATTTCTCAACAGCCAGTTGAGCTGCGTCTAGGACAGAAGAATTGGCCCCTTTCTTAAATGCAAAATACTGTTGGCAGTGCCTTTGGTTAGAATGTTGTCTTGCCTAGTTTGTGTGAGTTTATTTTTCATGTCCATTGTAAAACATGTAAAATAACGTGTATAGAATGGAACAGCAAAGCTTCTATGGCAAAGTGAAATGCATTTTTGCAATGCTGTAATTTATTTTTACTACTCCCTCGTAATCCTATGGCATTTTTAAAAAATGTCTCACTTCCAGCTTTTTTTGAAGGTTCTGAAACTACTTGTTCATATGCAGACAGTGTAAAAGACCACGATAATAAAACTGTCAGTAAGTAAAGAAATCTCTTCAAGTTCTTTTTCTGGCGCCCTCCTATGGAATTTTCATGTATTAAGTCTAGAGGAAGATACAGAAATCCTTCCTAGAACTGAATTTAAAATTCTTAACCTTACTGTAAAGTTTAAGCCTCAGTTAAAGAGATGCAGAACATCCACCCGTGTAGAACCTGACCAAAGTGTTCCATTCATCTGAATGTTTTAGCTGGATTTGACAGACCTGCTTCTCATGTCTATCTTTGATAAACTGCACTTAATGGCAGAGATGAAAATGTATTTCTATGTAAAAATAATACAAACCATAAAACCCCCAGCTAAGAGTTAATTCTAAGTGCTGAAATGTCTGATATTAATACCTGGAAATGTTTAAAAGGATACAATCTAAAACCAAAGGGGTTGTACACAATCTGTGGCACAACACACTGGCCTGTTCCAGGACAATGTGTTAGAATGTGCTCTGGGTACATTCTAGTGGAGGTTCTGCCCATGCCTTTGGTAAAAGATGCAAAGCAAGAGAGTTAAACTGGCTGACAGCCACTGTAGCCAGAAAACCTGGGGACCATTAGGAAAAGATGAGAAAAGGATGATGCTTGGGGTTTTATTCAGCTTTTTATTTTTATGAAAAATGAACAGCTGGCACAATCTTATTATTATTAGGGTAAATCCTAGACCTTGTAAACACCCAGGAGTCATTTTTGGATGAACAGGGCCTGTACATTATCTTAGATTAGTTGGCAGGACACTTCTATAAATAAGGAGATCTGAGTCATTCTCAAGGTAGATTTTTCTCCTACTTCTTCCGACCAAGCTTTGGAGCCTTCTCAAGGCCTTGGATGTATTTCCGAGGTAGCTGATACTCTTCTGCAACACAACAAGAGTTCAGGTAAATATCCAGAGCTCAAGAATTAAAACCTGTCTCTTCCTGTAACCAGTGTCAGCCCAGTTCCAGACTCGACTTACCTAGCAGCATCTTGGCCAAGTGATGGATTTGGTTGCCTTGGATCTGGACCTGAACTCTGTCTTTTGCTCCTGGTAATGGGGTGATGGTGGCACTGGCTTGGACTTTTTGTTGCAGAATGTTGGCCACACACTCTGGGTCTAGACCATACAGCTCAAGGTTCTTGATAATTGTCACCTGCAGGTTTTAATAAGTATTG